CATCCAGAATTATCAGAAAGAGTAATTAGCTCTTGACCTTAAGACCAGAGAGGGAAAATAGCAAAAGTCATTGCTGAATAGAAACTGACATCTTTCTTTTTAGTAAGTTCGTAAGAGTTAGAAGAAATGAATGAAAAACAAGACTTTCATGAAATTTTAAAAAAATATACGATTATAATTCATATTTATTTAAGCAATTTTCTGATTTGTAATTATTCTGATTGATCATATCAAGTCACTAAATATTTTCAGTCTGGAGTAATGCATCCTACTATCCTATCTGATTGAAATTCAATAAAGCTTTTGATTATGAATTCAAAATCCTCTGTTATTCTAAAAATGAAAATTTAAGATTCATTTTAATGGACAAAAACAGATTTAGATTTGATATATATCTATGAAGAAACTTTCATGCTTTCGCTATTTTTCTTTAGCTCAATCTGGCTTGATTTAAGAAACTCTTCGCTTCCTTCTTTTCTTTAATACAGCTCTAGGACTTTCTAATTATAAGGGTAAAATGTAAAGAGTGAATCATTTATGAAGCTTAAAGTTAATCCCCATTAAGTTGTTTGAATGTATCTTGCTTCTAACAACAATAGATCTTTACTATGTTTAGTACTGATAATAATCTTGTTCTCTTGTCTAGCACAAGAAATCAACTAATTTTCAGCTTAATTTAATGAATTTTTTCCAAATCATTATTTTCTTATCTGCGCTCCTGTGATCATTAAATTTTCATTTTTTGATAAAACCAAACAGCAAATAGCTCCTGAATGGCCATCAAGTTATTATTGTAATTTCCATGTTTACTCATTATTTAACTCCCAAATAAGTATTACATTATCTCCAGCTCCAGAAACAAATGTTGATGATTTTTTCATGAAATGAAGACATGTCACTTTATCTTTATGTTAATTTAAACCTTAAATAAATGTCAGTTCCCCGTTTTCAAACTTAAATACTGTTATTAGCTTACTCTTTCCTGCTATCATCGTAGTGACCTCTTCATTAAAAGCTATTGCATAAATTTATTCTTCTTTATAAGAATTTTCTTTAAGTAATTCAAAATTAAGCAAATTTTAATAACCTATAGTTATTTGTTCTTTTCTTTCGAATCTTCAATTTATACTGATTTAATCAATTATTCAGACGGTTACAAAATTTACTAATTTACATCAGTGTGAAAATATTCTCTAAATATAGATTTTTAATCTCTAATTATTGATTAAATTTTTTCATATGAACTTTCAACATCAACTTAGATAAATAGGAGTTACTACATGCATTAACTCTCTATTTCTTTAATTAAGGTTTTTTCAGGTTTTTAATTGCTTAAAATGTTTGCAATTGATATAATATCTTTCTTGTCTAAATATTACCAATCCTTTTTTAGAAGAAATCTATTTTCTTTAAAAATCCAATTCTAATTTTATTTTATTAAATTAATCTTTTCAATACAACCATCAATTAATTAACAAATTTAATCTTTAACTTATAACAAGCTTTCTATTGCTTTTCCAATCTATTTATTAATGAATTTATCATTTTTGTTTATTGAACTTTAAATTTCCAGAGATCGATTTTCCCAAAGCTTTTTCAAAGTATCAAGTGTAGTATATTATGTAAAATATTATGGCACACATTTCATACATGCTACTCTAGATGGAACTACATTAGATTAATTTAAATCTACATAGTAAATCTTATCTTTATGTTCCTCGCATATCCATTAATTATTAATATCAGACTCATTATTAAAATTATACTTCATATATAAATCTTTAAACGCATTTTCCTAAAATTTTTATTCATCAATGTTTATCTAATTGAGTATTTTTTCAGATTCATTTTACAATTATGTATAATTAACTTTTTTGATATATTATAGCAATGAAACCTATATATTTTTATATATGGAGGTTTCTTAACATATCAATTTGGAAAAGGTTTAAAAATCCTCATTATTACTAATTTATAAGGTTTCTTGAGATTCCTCTTTAACTTTCTTTATTAATTCAACTTAAGTATCGATATATGTTATTGCAATGTTCATTACATCTGAAATTTAATTTCTTTATTTTTGAAGGTAGATCTTGATAGAGTGTAAGACTTCTAAGTTCTTATTTCTCTTCGTTTAAATTTCCCTCATGAATTACAATTTGACTAAAGAAAATTGCTTTTCTAAGTCTTCTATGAGCATTAAATTCTTATTCATGTTTACAATACATTTCTAACACAGCTTTCTATTTTTTAATTCACTAAATGCTGAACCATAAAAAACTACTTTCTATTAATGTTCTGGGCAAAAACTCATTTAAACAAATAATCAAACAGTTAAATTTCTAATAATCTTTATCATATACTTTAAATTAAAATCACATTAATAATTATCATTTATAAAATATGTTTTATAATCTCTTATAAATTAAAAAAAGTAATAAATAGTATGAATTAAGCNTCCTATCTGATTGAAATTCAAAGCTTTTGATTATGAATTCAAAATCATCTGTTATTCTAAAAATGAAAATTTAAGATCCATTTTAATGGAAAAAAACAGATTTAGATTTGATATATATCTATGAAGAAACTTTCATGCTTTCGCTATTTTTCTTTAGCTCAATCTGGCCTGATTTAAGAAACTCTTCGCTTCCTTCTTTTCTTTAATACAGCTCTAGGACTTTCTAATTATAAGGCTAAAATGTAAAGAGTGAATCATTTATGAAGCTTAAACTTAATCCCCATTAAGTTGTTTGAATATATCTTGCTTCTAACCACAATAGATCTTTACTATGTTTAGTACTGATAATAATCTTGTTCTCTTGTCTAGCACAAGAAATCAACTAATTTTCAGCTTAATTTAATGATAAAGAATTAATTTCATTTTCATGATGGAATAAAGTTTAAAAATGAATCCATTAATTCAATTTTTTCCAAATCATTATTTTCTTATCTGTTGCTCCTGTGATCATTAAATTTTCATTTTTTGATAAGACCAAACAGCAAATAGCTCCTGAATGGCCATCAAGTTATTATTGTAATTTCCATATTTACTCATTATTTAATTCCCAAATAAGTATTAAATTATCTCCAGCTCCAGAAACAAATGTTGATGATTTTTTCATGAAATGAAGACATGTCACTTTATCTTTATGTTAATTTAAACCTTAAATAGATGTCAGTTTCCCATCAAACTTAAATACTGTTATTAGCTTACTCTTTCCTACTATCATCGTAGTGACCTCTTCATTAAAAGCTATTGCATAAATTTATTCTTCTTTATAAGAATTATCTTAAAGTAATTCAAAATTAAGCAAATTTTAATAACCTATTGTTATTTGTTCCTTTTCTTTCGAATCTTCAATTTATACTGATTTAATCAATTATTCAGACGGTTACAAAATTTACTAATTTACATCAGTGTGAAAATATTCTCTAAATATAGATTTTTAATCTCTAATTATTGATTAAATTTTTTCATATGAACTTTCAACATCAACTTAGATAAATAGGAGTTACTACATGCATTAACTCTCTATTTCTTTAATTAAGGTTTTTTCAGGTTTTTAATTGCTTAAAATGTTTGCAATTGATATAATATCTTTCTTGTCTAAATATTACCAATCCTTTTTTAGAAGAAATCTATTTTCTTTAAAAATCCAATTCTAATTTTATTTTATTAAATTAATCTTTTCAATACAACCATCAATTAATTAACAAATTTAATCTTTAACTTATAACAAGCTTTCTATTGCTTTTCCAATCTATTTATTAATGAATTTATCATTTTTGTTTATTGAACTTTAAATTTCCAGAGATCGATTTTCCCAAAGCTTTTTCAAAGTATCAAGTGTAGTATATTATGTAAAATATTATGGCACACATTTCATACATGCTACTCTAGATGGAACTACATTAGATTAATTTAAATCTACATAGTAAATCTTATCTTTATGTTCCTCGCATATCCATTAATTATTAATATCAGACTCATTATTAAAATTATACTTCATATATAAATCTTTAAACGCATTTTCCTAAAATTTTTATTCATCAATGTTTATCTAATTGAGTATTTTTTCAGATTCATTTTACAATTATGTATAATTAACTTTTTTGATATATTATAGCAATGAAACCTATATATTTTTATATATGGAGGTTTCTTAACATATCAATTTGGAAAAGGTTTAAAAATCCTCATTATTACTAATTTATAAGGTTTCTTGAGATTCCTCTTTAACTTTCTTTATTAATTCAACTTAAGTATCGATATATGTTATTGCAATGTTCATTACATCTGAAATTTAATTTCTTTATTTTTGAAGGTAGATCTTGATAGAGTGTAAGACTTCTAAGTTCTTATTTCTCTTCGTTTAAATTTCCCTCATGAATTACAATTTGACTAAAGAAAATTGCTTTTCTAAGTCTTCTATGAGCATTAAATTCTTATTCATGTTTACAATACATTTCTAACACAGCTTTCTATTTTTTAATTCACTAAATGCTGAACCATAAAAAACTACTTTCTATTAATGTTCTGGGCAAAAACTCATTTAAACAAATAATCAAACAGTTAAATTTCTAATAATCTTTATCATATACTTTAAATTAAAATCACATTAATAATTATCATTTATAAAATATGTTTTATAATCTCTTATAAATTAAAAAAAGTAATAAATAGTATGAATTAAGCAGTAAGTCTATTATATTTAGTTGTAAACATTTAATATGGGATTAATTGAATTATATCAATTTTACTTGATTTAAATTAATTTTATGAAAGTTAAGAAATTTCATAATTTTAATATAATTTTATTAGAATGATTTATATACAAAAAATAGACTTCGAAATATAATCAAATGATGGATTAATTATTTTTTTAATATTTTTTATTATAAATATTTCAAGATGAATATTGAAGCGAAAAGAATTATTAGATTTTCAAGATGAATGTTAAATTCAAATAATGCACTTTATTTAATAAAAATATTATAAAGCAAATTAATAATAAAAATAATGAAATATTTTCAACAAGATTCTTGCTAATAGCATAATAAAAAGGCTATTTTCTTAAATTAATCAGAAATTGATCCATAGTTTAAGAATTTATGTCTTCAATGTGTTTCAGAATTAAAAAAGGAATTAATTGTAATCGACGATTTCTAATAATCAATATAAGAACTTATAATTAATTTGATTAAAGAACGAGAATAACCTAATTGAAATAACCTTTAGTGTTTATTCATTTGAAGGATTGCATTTTGTAGTTCAAAATGAAATAAATAATATCAATTGAAAAGTATATTTAATGTATTGATTAATAAATCAATATAATGGATGAGTTTTAAAAATAAATATATGATTACTAAATTCCAATAGACAATGTTGATTAATTTCTTAGAAAATATACTGAAATTGAATAATTACATATAAATTATGAAGGTATTACGGATGTTATAATCAGCAACCTTAACTCAATTCAAATATAAGATTTTATGCCATAATTTTAAGAAATAACAAATAACCTGACATTTGAATCTTAGACTGATGTTGTTTTTACTCTATCACATATAAAATCTCACATTTTTTCTAAAAATTATGATAAAGAAAAATTGAAAATATTTTCTGAGAAACATAATAGATAAATAATGATGTTGGACTTAAATAAAGAAAAAAAACTTCAAAATAGATTAGCTTGTATTGATTTTATTGAAGAAT